TATATATATATATATATATATATATATATATATATGACTTTGTATCTAGTGAGCGGCCTTGGTAAATTCACTTAAAACACACACACAAAACACATACTTGGAATTATTAGGCCTGATAATTTCAGCAAAGTTACCGGATAGAAGATCAATATACAAATTTCACAGGCAACAGGACAATGACCACAAATAGTGAGCATGGATATTCTCCTCTCGATTTCAATCCAGTGGTCGGGCTGTCAATATTCACTACTAAGCATGATGTTTGCTATAGGACTTTCAATATACTCATGATTAATAATTCCCATTCATCAAAATTCTCATTTTTATCACAAGTGCTATTAAATTTTATCAAGTGTTTTTCTTGTATCTTTTGAGATAATATTTTTCTCCTTTACTTTCAATAAGATGAATTATATTGATTGAATTTTGGATGTCAAACCAAATTTACATTCTTATAACAGACACCAGTCATGTCATACACACACACACACAAACACACACACACACACACACACCACAAATACTTGGATTTTTAAAGTTTGCATTTATGTTAAAGGATTTTTTTCTGGTGGTACTAGGAATTGAAACCAAGAGCTACAGCTACAGCCATTTTGTTTGTTTCTTTGTTTGTCTGTTTTTAAGACAGGTTCTCACTAAGTCACTAGGATATCCAGGCTGGGTTCAAATTTGTGATCCCCTTGCTTCAGCCTTTCAGAGTGCTGGGATTACAAGATTTGAAAGCACACCTGGCTTAGTTTTTCACAGTTAATAGTCATGTTCATGAGAGATTTTTCTATGATAACTTATTCTAGTGATCCTTGCACTTAATGTGTGTTTGCAGTCACACAAGTATTTTATGTATTTCTACTGGTCATGTTTGTTAATCGGATTTATCAAATCATCTGTCTTTACGGATTTTTTGTCTGTTTTTTAATTATTTAGCAAGGTTAAAACCTTCCATTATGATTGTGGGCTTACCCATTTCTCCTTTCAGTCTTGTCAAATTTTTATCTTGAAGCTGTGTTATTAGGGTCATATTCACTTAAAATTGAAATTTTCTTCTGGTAGATTGAACCTATGTAAAATGGTAGATTTATTCTATTCTCCCCTTATTTTTTCAATACTCTTTTGTTCCTGTAATTACAGTGTCTCCTAAGTATGGTCTCAAAATCAAGTCTATGAGCTTCTATATTCTGTGTGTGTGGTACACTTACATTTAATATAATTCCAGATACCACTGTGTTCACAGGTACCACCTTGTTATTTTTCTATTTGCATCCCTAATTAAAGTTTTTTTCTCTTCTCTGTTGCCTGCCTTTGGATTACCTGGGGTTTTTATTCCATCTCTCTAACTATTAGTTGTGACTTTCTGTTTTGTTATTCCTTTAATGGTTCTCCCACAGATTACTATTTGTATCTATTACTTATTATAGTCTAATACAATTTTACTTTCTAATCCCTTCTCAGACAATGCTCTAATCTCACAACATACACTCTCTTACTTCCCTTCTACTTTGTTCTGTGTGTGTTATATGTAGAATTCATTTATCCATCTATATTTTAGACCCAATAAGACAGCACTATTATTGTTATGTTCAGTCAAGATTCATTTATATTCAACCACATATTCTTTGCCGCTTTTTTATTCTTTCCTATATTTCTATGATTCTATCATATCAATTTCCTTCCACCTGAGAATTCCTTTTATTATTTCTTTCAGTACAGATCTGATGGCAGCACACTCTCTCAGTTTTTTTTTAAATAGAAATGTCTATTTTGAATCATTTTTAAAAGGATTTTTTGTGAGCATGGAATTCTGGGCTGATATTTTTTCAGCAGTTTATAAGTGGCATTCTAATATCTTCTCTCTTCCATCATTTCTGTTACCAAGGCATTGTCAGTGCTCTTGCTTCTCCTTTTTTTTTTTTTTTTTTTTTTTTGTTTGTTTGGTTGGTTGGTTGGTTGGTTTTTGGTTTTTCTCTGGTACCAGGAACCGAACTCACGACCTTGTGCTTGCCAGGCAGGCGCTTTGCCGCTGAGCTAAATCCCCAGTCCCTCTTGTTTCTCCTTTGAAAATCATGTGTCTCCTGCTCCCCTTAATGTGTTCCGTACCATCCTTTCATCTTGGTTTTCATCAGT